AGGGCATCCGGGAGAGGAGAAGAAGAAAGAATAATAAATATCAAGGGCCCGAATAAACTACTGAGAGAAGATTTCGGAGTTGCGTCTTCCTTGCGGGCAAGGGGTCGCGACAGAATCACATATAGTACTCAAGAATAGTGAATGAAATAGGAAAGGAGAGGTAATAAAAGTGGGTGTTGGTTAGCATCAGATCCACTGGTCACTTGATTTAGTGATTTACACATGTCTATACTGGATTGTAAAAATCTTTTTAATAATAGGGCACAATAGAATTTTGAAAAATAATTGCTACTTAAAGTGCATGAGGATTGTAATCTTGGAATTAAATTTTTTGCATTTAATACATTCACTTTTATGAATGGTATTTCTCATTTTAGTTTTTGCAGTGCTGGGGATGGAACCCAGGGCCTCATACTTGCTAGACAACCACTGAGCCCCATCCCAGCCCTGCCCTTTCTTTTTCACAGGCTATAAACCCTTCAAACTGGGTATGATGTTGCCATTGGGAAGAGAGGAGAAGCTTTGGATGATGGAGGCAGAAACCAAAGAAGATGGGAGTTCAGGTGAGAGCCACACAGCTCTGAGGCTTCCAGGGGCAGCCCAGGTCTTCCCTTCTCACCCATCCATGGAGACTACCCCAGCCCACCCTTTGGCATCATCTCCATCTCTGCAGCAGCCATCACACAGCCAGATCTGTCAGGCGGTTGGGTCATTCCTGTGCTCCAGGCCTTCCCATGACTTAAGTCTCACTCAATTAAATCCAAAATCCGTCAAGGGCCTTCTGTGTCCTGCGTGACTGGCCACTCACTCACTTACTCCATTAATCTGTCCTTTCCTCAGTCCCTTCTAGCAGCATGAAGGTGCTGTTTCTTAGATTTGCCAAGTGTCTATCCTGAGGTATATGCAGACACATACCTGTGAAACCCAGAAGATAATGTTGGATATTCAGGTTTACTACAAAAGTTAGCCAAATTAAGTGGCAATACTTTATTGCCATAGTTGTGTCAGCCCTAGGAATCAGTTTTCTACTGGCTTTACCCAAGTAATGTTCACCAGTTAAGTTCACATAGCAGGAATCATCAAAATGAAGGGGAATTCTCTCAAATCAAGCTTGTTTAAGATGTAGGTTTAATAGCTAAGTGAAGGAAATAAATGCACCATCTCACGGACTTATTGACAGTACAGAGGAGATATTTCCCTTTGCAGATAAATTCTTTTCACTTCTATGGAGGACATCCTCTCTTTCTCTCCTTGGGAACTTTTGGCAACAGGAGGTAATCTGCCTGTGAACGTGAGAAGATTCAGGTCCTCTTGTCACCTTGGGCCCACTTGCCACATGTGATGTGTAGGTTGTCAGTGTAACCATGATGCTGCCCATCCTACACACCTGCTGCAGAAAAGAGGACAGGGTTTTTGTTTATGTTTGCGTTGGGGGGAAGTTTGTATTTATTGTTGTTTGGTGCTGAGAAACAAACCCAGGGCTTCAGGTTTGCTAGACAAACAGTCTGCTACCAAACTGCATCCCCAGCCAAGGACAGGATTTTTAAGTTATTATTCTTATGGTTAAGGAGGTAATGGGATCACGTTGGTATTTCCATAGTCATGAAAAGAGCAAGGATAAAGTCACATTCACTTGTCCATTGGGGGAATAGGTCTCCCAGTGTGGTCAGCTTGTGAAATGTTTTTTTTTTAAATCTCTGAACAAACAGTCATTCATCCTCATTTTCATCTCCAAATCTCTTTATCCTTCCAGGATGCAGGGGTCAAAATGAGACAGAGACTCTCCAAGAAGTAGGGTTAAGATACCTTTTACATGAAGACCTTATGTGCTGGCAAATATGGGAACAATTGACAAGTAAATTAACCAGAAACCAGGACTTCATCCTAAGTCTTCAAGGCAAGAGGTCTGAGTTGCCAAAAAAAGGTGATGCCCAGGTGTGGACAGGAGCCTCTGTTCCAGTTCCTGGAGATGAGATCTGTGTAGTGACCCTTCACAGGGAGAGTTCCAATAGTGTCAAAAGGCAAGAGTTTCCAATTAGGACCACCTGGGATTTCTGGAGAAAAATGAATGTGGAAGAATCCCAGAATTACCAGAGAAGATGTCAGCAAACTGACATAAAAAATAAACTGTGTAAATGTGACTGTGATGACCAGGAAGCACACAAAAGAGAGGAAGCTTATAGCCCCAATGATGGCAGAAAAGAATTCATGAAGAAATCACCCCAGCGTAGGGTAAGACCCTCACAAGAGCAAACCTCCCATGAGGATGGGAAAGGCTTCAGTGTTGCCTCTGACCTTGACCTTCCCCAGCAGTTGCCCTTGGGAGAGAAGCCCCTTGCGTGTACTGAGTGTGGGAGGACCATGCATCATAGCTCGTTGCTGACCTTGCATCCGAGCACTCACCTGGGTGGAAGACACTGCAGGAATGAAAATGGTGAGAGCTTTGGTCTGAGCTCCTGCTTACAGACTCATCAGAGTGTCCACCCAGGAGAGGAGCCCTCCAGGTGTCAGGTGTGGGCTCAGAGCCTCAATGAGAACTCCTCTCTTCCAAGTCATGAGCTTACTCAGCCAGGAGAGAAGCTGGACACCTGTGAGAGAGTCCTCCCTAGAGACAAAACATGCAGTTGGGAGGCATGTGAGAGGGGATATAACCAGGATCCTGGTCTCCATCCGAGAGTCCACATTGGAGGGAAGCCATATACGTGTGGGGTATGCCATAAGGGCTTCAGTAAGGCCTCAAACCTTCAAGTTCATCAGAAAATCCACACTGGAGAGAAACCCTACAGATGTGATGTGTGTGACAAGAACCTCAGCCGTAATTCTCACCTTCAAGCCCATCAGAGAGTCCACACGGGAGAGAGGCCTTACAAATGTGACACCTGCGGTAAGGACTTCAGCCAGATCTCTCACTTCAGGCCCATCAGAGAGTTCACACGGGAGAGAAGCCATACAGGTGTGAGACATGTGGGAAGGGCTTCAGTCAGAGTTCACACCTCCAAGACCGCCAGCGAGTCCACACTGGAGAGAAGCCCTACACGTGTGAGGTGTGTGGGAAGGGCTTCAATTGGAGCTCACATCTTCAAGCCCATCAGAGAGTGCACACAGGGGAGAAGCCCTACAGATGTGAGGAGTGTGGGAAGGGCTTCATCTGGAATTCATATCTCCAAGTTCACCAGAGGATCCACACAGGGGAGAAGCCCTATAAATGCACCCTGTGTGGGAAGAGCTTCAGCCAGATCTCACATCTGCAGGCCCATCGGAGAGTCCATACTGGAGAGAAACCACACAGATGCTTTGTGTGTGGGAAGGGCTTTAGTAAGAATTCATGTCTTCAGATTCATCAGAAAGTCCACAATGGCAGTAAACATGATGAGTCCAGGAAAGGTGTTCTTCAGGACTTAGACCTCTCATTTTCCTCAGAAAATCCTTGTGGCAAAAGTATTTTTTAAATGTGTTTTAAGAATTCATGAGTAAATTATTTTTTACAGTCTTACAAATTTCATTGGAGAAAATCTGTTTTTTTTTTTTGCATGAATACAGTGTCTGAGGCAGAGACTAAAATGTCAGTTTTCAAGGGAACACACAGCAGAGAAACCTTGGAAGGATGGAACCAGAGAGGTTCCTCCCAGAGCCTTCATAGGCAATAGAGACCTTAAAAATTAAAAGTCAGCCCAAGGCTTTAACAGGAGTAAAATGACGAAACTAACAGATCCACATCCACTAGAAGGTGAGTTCATGTGTACTACACTGTGACCATGACCTTGAACCATTGCCCAATGAATAGCCGGTGTCCTAGAGTTGTTTACCTTGAGAGGTGTGTTAGTCAGCTTTTTAGTGCTGTGACCATAATGCCCCACCAGAACAAATTAGAGAAGAAAAGTTTATTTGAACTCACTGTTAGAGATTCAGTCTTCGGCTGGCCAGTTCCATTGCTCTGGGGCTGAGGTGGGGCAATGCATCATGGCCAAAGGGTGTGGCAGAGAAGTGCTGCTTCACTCATGATGGTGAAGGAGCAGAGAGAGAGAGCGCTCAGGGAAGGGGTGGCAGAGAAGATACACCTTTCAGGGCTGGCCCCCAGTGACACACCTCCTCCAACCACACCCCACCTGCCTGCAGTCACCACCCAGTCAGCCCATTCAAACTAGGATAATCTGATTAGGCCACAGTTCTCATAATACAATCATTCCCCTCTGAATACTCCTGCATTAACACAGGACACCTCATATCCAAACCACGAGAGAGGAAAAACCTATCATAAGGAGAACACTTTCAAAACTGTGAACCCAACCCCAGTTAGTTGTAGTAAATTGTGCTAAGAGTTCTTATAAAAAGCCTTAAAGATAAACTCAAGATAAATGATAATTTAATAAAATACCTAAAAGCCCAAGTCTGCTCTTTGTATAAGATTTTTACAATTGGCTCCTGCTCTCTGCTCAGCTTCAAGAGTGATGGACTAGTTTTTGATCTTAACATTTAAGACATTCTCTGTACAGTGTACCGTAAATTCTGGGTAGTATAAATTTCACTGTCCTCTTTAGGTCTTATGTGACAGAAACAAACTGAAACAAAATGGCTTTTGATTCCATAAGCTTCATGAGGAAAGGGAGTGCAGAAAGGGGAAATCATGGAACATGCAGTTTGGACATTGGACTAAGCTCTTCAGCCCATGGAGCATTCTAGACACCACTCCATACTTCTCAGATCTTTAGTAGTTTTCAGGTTTGTCAGTTGAAGGGTTTACAGCCAGGTGTATGTCCAGTGCAGGTGGGACAGTCTCCCACCATCTTTTCCCTGGACCTTACCTTCCAGGACAATGGCTGGTACATGGCACCTCAAGTGTCACGTTACCATCTGAAATCCAGGGCCAGCTGTACTCTGCTTTGTCACCACCAGATGCTACTCTGGGCCACCAGTGCTCATGGTTGTTTATATTAGTTAGGGTGTTTTCAATTTTGAGAGATTTAAAAAATCCAGCTTAACCAGATGAAACGGAAAGGAAGATCTGCTGGTATGCATAATTTAAAAGAATACAGATATGGGAGGGCACAGGCCTGGCTGAAACAGCTCAGGTTTGACTATTTGTGATTCCCTCATCTCCACCCTTCTGGTGGGTTCCCACATGTGTTCACTCCAATTCATGATAGAGTAGATGCTCTGTCAACTTCCAATGCAGCCGATTTTCTGAACCTTTTGTCCCTCTTAGTTATTTAGAGTCTTGACTTTTTTCTAAGTATACCATGTCTAAACACAAGTATATATAATTACGGTTTGCCCTTTTAGCCACACATAGAGAGTAAACCTTAAGCTATCTATAGTTCTTCCAGAATAAAATTATATTTTTATTCCTAAAATTAAAAAAATAATGCTTGAACTTTGTAAACAAGCAAAATAATACCAAAAAACATTGCTACAATATGAGTGGAAACTCCACAGATTAACATAAACTGAACATTTAATTGAATATTTTTTCGAGTATCAATCTGGGTATATGGACACATTCTATTTTATGAAACATATTTACAGTAATATGCATACAATTCTGTAACATTTTTCTTCAGGCAATATTAGAAACATTTTCTATCAATATTTATCTATTTTTAAATTGCAAAGCATTTCAGTATATGGATATATTAAGTGTTAACCAGTTTATCCTGATGAATGCTCAGATTGTGTCTTCTGAACAGCAGTTCAATGAAAAATTTAGGATGGTGACATTCATCTTCATGTAGTATTATTTCCTTGGAAGAAATAACTAGAATTAGTGCTGTGTCCAAGAATAATTAGTTTTAGACTTAGTGATATGCAGCTGTCTTCCAAACATATGCCTGAGGTTGCATATGTCTCTGACCCTCGTGGGTAATGGGGTAAATCCTAAACTGGATATAAAGGGTCTGATGGTATTCTCTTCACTCACCAGAAGAAAAACTCCCCTATAGATAAAGGTGCCATACAGAGCCTTTACAAATTTTTATAAGCAATATCTGATACTAAAAACAACATAACAGACCTTCCAGGAATGGGGGGAAACCCCAGATTAACTGAAAAGCAAAAATAAGATCAACAGGCTCCAGGTGATCTGGAGTTACTAGACATGAATTTAAAATAGCTGCTATTAATATGTTCATTGAAAATATGGGGAATTTCACTAAAAACTTAAAATCTAAAAAGAACCAAATAGTCCTTGATTTGATAAATACAGTAACTAGTATTTAAAAGCAAATTAACAGTGGCTAAAGCTGTTATTTTCTGAAACCTGCAGCACTCAGGTTGACTGTGGGCTTCTTCAGGCAGACACCCAGATTTATTGTGTAAGTCTGTGAATATTCACCGAAACCAGGCTCTAGGAAGGATCCTTTCTGGAGAGAGTGAATTTGGGGACCTCTTCAGGACATAGCCCAAAAAGAGTCTTGATTTTGAAAGTGAAAGAAGTACCCCTGTTAGTAAGAATCTTTCCTAAGATTTCTTTCCAAGTCTCAGTCTGAAATCTTCTTTCTTTGATAATTAGTGCCTTGGTAGCCTTACTGTACTTGTGGGACTTAGAAAAGAAAACGAACATGGAGTTTTGACTCAAAAGCATCAGGAGACCGATGGCAGTGACCCCCAGGCCTGGGGGCTCTGGGATGGCCTTCTGTTGAGAGCCACAGCCAAAAGGGGCCCCAGCAAACTTCCAGCTGCCAGCAAACTTCCAGCTGCCAGCTGATGATTGGCTCACAGCGGCCCCAGCAAACTTCTATGGGGATTAGTTGCCACTCCTAGGCCTCGAAGCATTTGAGTGGCTTGTTGTAATGGCCAATGTTTTGGCCATTCTTGACGAGAGATGATGCTAAGGTCTGCACCTGTATCCATTAGCCCATTAAATTCATGTCCTTGAATATTAAATTATTATTACAATAATATCAAATTATTATAAATATAATTATTATAAAATTAATATAACTTATTAAAAATTATAATCTAGAGATAGCAATAGATAAAGTACAATTAAATTTTCCAATTAATTATTTAGGAGTTCTATTATCCTCAACTGTGGTCCGTCCACCAAAAATTCAAATACAAATAGATCAACTCAAATCACTTAACGACTTTCAGAAGTTATTAGGAGACATAAATTGGATAAGGCCTTATCTAGGTATACCAACAGGAGAGTTGGGACCTTTATTTGATATCCTAAAAGGTCCATCAGATCCAAATTCACCCCGAATGTTAACACCTGAAGCAAGAAAGGCATTAAAAATCATTGAAACATATATGGAAAATATGCATTTGGATAGAATTGATATAAGATATAAGTTTGCCTTTATTATTTATTGTACTACCAACAAAAAATATTCCTACAGGAGTATTTTGGCAAGAAGGTCCATTATTATGGATACATTTATCTTATTCTCCTAACACTATTCTTACTAGGTATCCTGAGGCTGTAGGACAATTAATACTCAAAGGAATAAAAGCAGCAAAGGGAGTGTTTGGAATTTCTCCCAATAAAATTATTACTCCATATACTATGAATCAAATTGATGAGTTAGCTAATGAGTTAAATACTTGGGCAATAATCATGTGCAAATCTAATGTTTCATTTGATAACCACTTACCATCTAATCCTTTATTGTCTTTTTGGTTATTGCATCCTGTAATTTTTCCAAAAATGACAAGAAAAACACCTATCATGAATGCTCCAAATATATTCACTGATGGGTCAAATAATGGTACAGCAGCAATAGTTACACCTGATCAAACTTTTACATTTTTAGTACCCAAACAATCAGCTCAAAAGGTAGAGCTTAATGCAGTATTACAAGCTTTTGTGATGTTTAAAGATTCTGTATTTAATTTATTTTCCAATAGTCAGTATATAGTTAATGCTATAGTATCCCTTGAAGATGCTGGTAGGATTTCCCCTTCCTCTACTGTTTTCTCTTTGCTTTCCACTATACAAAGTCTAATCTGGGATAGAAAAGATCCATTCTTTATAGGACATATCAGGGCACATACAGGATTGCCTGGAGCCCTTAGTTTGGGCAATGATTTAGCAGATAAAACTACACATGACATACATATTTTCTCTACACTAGAAGAAGCTACACATTTTCATAAAAAGTTCCATGTCAATGCTAATACTTTACAAAAGCATTTTAAAATAATTAAGGAACAAGCTAGACAAATAATAAAACAATGTCAAAATTGTGTGACCTTTTTACCACAAGTTAATCTTGGAGTCAATCCTAGAGGACTGATACCTAACCATATTTGGCAGATGGACGTCACACACTTGCCAGAATTTGGAAAATTAAAATATTTGCATGTTACAGTTGATACTTCTTCCGGATTTTTGATGGGTTCCCTTCATGCCGGAGAAAAAACTAA